TTTAATTTTAAAATCCTCTGGTAAATCTAAGCATTGAGAACTCTGTGGACTGCAAGGGCCACCTGCCGGGAATATGATGCTTTACTTGCTGCCCTATCTAGAGGCGGGGCCTGTGATGTGATGACATCTCTTCCCTGCAAAGCTTTGGGGACAGCTTCCTTGTCCCCGAGGCTCCACAACACAAGCTGCCTATCCTCAGGCTTGTGTGGGGGTCAGGCCATCATAGCTGGGGCTGCCTGTCAGTATGTAAGGTGCATTTCTTCCTGGTCTGGACACCTTCCCAGAGCCCAGGGAATCATTGTGGACAGGAAGTTCCTAAAGAGCAGCTGGTAGGGGCTGCAACTTGAGGGCCTGTGAGCTCCCAAGAAACTGCCTGAGGTCTGATTCAGATGGACAAGGGAACACATTCCCTCCCACCCCCTGTCCCAGCATGCTCACAGAATGAACGTGATCACAGAAGACGACTCTGGATTGGAAAAGTCTCAAGAAGTCTGCTGTTTGCAAGAGAAAAACACGATGAGGAGCTGATTCCAAGGAAGGCATGGGCACTGCTGCTAAGCTGGTCAAAGCCGAGTATGGTCAGCCAGTGATGCCAAGCAGGCAGCCAGGTGGTATTCCCAGGCTGCAGAGCTGCAGAGGATTGAGATGGAGCCCTCCCAGAGCACAGCCTGCAGCTGGCCTTTGATCTAGAAAGCACTTTCCTCCAGAGCGCAAAGCATCCTGCTCAGATATGCCTAATTGAGCCTCACCCTCATACATTACAAATACAGGCTTTAGGCCACCACCTCAGAGCAAGGGACCTGGCCCACTGGGGTGGGACCTCTGGCATCCCAAAGCGGCTCTGGTGAAAAGTCTGGATCTGCTGTTGCCTCAGACAGCACAGCTTTATGTCCCCTGGAGATTTCAGCTTTTCTTCCAGAAAAAGGTAAATGCAGGGGATGTTCTCCATGGCAAAGAAATTCCCAGCTCTAAGTTCTTCCCAATGTCTACTGCATCCCTCATGCTAAGTGCAAAGCCTTCTCCACGTCTGCACTGTGAGTGCAGACCTGTTCAGTGCAAGTCTCGCCTCCCTTCCTTGGAGAGAAGTGGAGGCACCGAAGGGGCTCAAACCCAAAATTTCTCCAACCTCTGTGCTAAAGGACAAGGGTGTGGGAGACTGAATGGTCCTGCCTTTATTTCTGATATGCAAGTTAAAAAATAATTCATGGCCGTGAGTGAGGAGGACTCTGGGTTGTTTCTAACGATGCCCCAGGACACTCTGAGGGGTTCTCCTGGCCTCAGCTATCAAGGGCTTGCCACCTCAAGCTGCCACCTCCTTCCTCCTAGGAAGTGGGGGTGAATGTGAGGAGGAAGGTGGGGTGGGCCTTTTCTACTCACAGCCACATTGTGACCTGGGGGATATGACCAAGACTGGGATGCTAGGGACGGGGAGTGTGTGTCCTGCCTAACCTGCATAGGGCCGGGCTCCCCAAGAGATCAGCCTCATTTTCTCTGGCCCTGTGGGAGAGAGAAACAAGTTGTGTGGTTTGCACAAGGAGAAAGAAGTTAGAAGCTGTGCTGCCCATGGCAACACTGTTCAATGTTTCATTTGCATGAGGATTTTCTGGTCTGTCTTGTGCAGAATTTCCATGCATCCAAGCGCTGTGCCCTCAGTGTGATCGTGAACTCCTCAAGGAGAGGGACTCTATGTTCCCTTTGCTTAACTCAGACCCTGGCATGGAGGGGATGCTGGTTCGATGCTAGCTGCTGGTAACACGCAGACTACGTTCCGCCTGGTGCCTGGCCTGGGGCGGACATGCAGCCATCCATCCTGACCTGAGCTGTCATCTCCGGTTTCCGAGATAGGCACGTGTTTACCAGGTGGAGTTGAAATATCATTCCCTATACTGAAAAGTAAGCAAGTGGAGGTACCTGGGAGATATTCTCACAGCTCACCAGAACCCACTCTTCTCGTGGGATTCCTGTAGGCTCCATCCCAAATCAGGCCATCCCCGAGAGCTTCCTCCCACTTCATCTCCAAGACCTGAAAATGTCCCTCCCACAAACAACCTCACACCTCCAAACTCACTTTCTAGATGTCTCAGAATCACTTCACCTCACCCTGAGTCATTTTCAAATAATCCACTTTCATATCCTATACCCTGTTGGGATTTCCAGCCTCTTGTCTAATGTCTGAGCTGCAAGTACCCTTATAGAGAGTTCCACCAGCAAGGTGTGACCCACCTCTTTATAAAAAAACAGAAGAGACTAAAAGAGGCTCTAATACAAGATATCAGATGTTGCCAATAAGGAAACGGATGCACAGAGAGGTAATGCAGGTTGCCTGAGGTCACACAGCTGGTAAGTGCCAGTTCCTGTCTCCGATTTCAGTGCCCTGCTCACTACAGTCTGTAGTTCTCCGGTTCTGCATCCAGAGAATACCTCTGGAATGGGACTGGCCAAAGAGTTCAGTGAGTCCCCAGTTCCAACACAACTCCCTAGCCTGGAGTGGGCCTTGATCAGCTGACCCCAGACAGGCACGGCTGGCAGGGATACCGACTGAGGATGAGCATGGAGACGCTGGAGACTTTGGCTGAGCTGGTTTTGCACGTGCAGCCGAGAGCTGCTTGACTTTTATCTCAACAACATCTCAAGCAATTATGAAATGAAGACAAAGCACTAATAGGGGCCCTTAAAGACGGATGTCAGGGGTAAGCAGCTCTCCAGCAGGTCAGCGGCACTTGTCTACTCCTGCAGGGATGCAGGCCAGCAGAGGAGGTCCTGCAGATGAGATGCCAGGCCAAGGCTGGGTAATTGCCCACTGGTTCATACTGCAGTGATCTCCTTAGAGAAGAGAAGGAGGTCTTCCCCTCTGGGAGAGGCCATGTGACTTTTGCAGTGGCTCCTCCAAGGTGATCAGTGCTGGGGTCAGAGGGGAGAAGGGGTGAAGTGAGGTCAGCAACTAGTCTAGCCCCTCATTTTACAGATGGGAAAACCAAGGCTCAAGAGAGGCCAAGAAATTTGAGCAGAGTCACAGAGCTAGCTGGTTGCAAAGCGATACGTGGCTCAAACCCAGGACTCCTGACTCCCAGTCTCCGACTTCCCAAAGTTACATGCTAAGCACCTGCCCATCCCATTAAAAAGCAGATTCAGTGGGGCTGGGAGTGAGACTTTGCCTTCCCACGATGTTTCCAGGTGATGCCAATGTTGCTGGTCCACAGACTACATTCTGAGAAGCAAATCTCTACGCTGTTGCCTGGAAAGATACAGGGATCCTTAAACCTAGCCTCTGACTATATTGAGGCTCAAACTCTCTACTTGAGCCAGACAAATCCTCTAAGACTGACAAAGATACCTATTTAAAATATTAATAATTATTATTTTGACATTCATTGAATAGTTATGTGCCAGCACTGTTCCAAATACTTACACGCATTATCTAATTTAACACGCTCAGCATTGTGAGATGGATACTATCCCTATCTTGCAGATAAGGAAGCTAAGACCCAGGAAGGTTAAGCAACTTGTCCTAAGTTGCACAGCTAGTGAGTGAAAGAATCAGTATTCAAACTCAGTTCTGTCTGATTCTTAATTAGGAAATGGCTACATAAAAATATACCCTTTAATCCTTTCCTTCTCTGAACTTTGGGAGCCTCTCTCCAGAACGTTCTTAACAATCCTCCAGCCAAACCACGTTTCCCCAATGATACTGGGCCTCAACTTCCTCATAATGCAGAGTCCTAAAAGTCTTTTCTTCCCAGATCTGTGTATACTCAATGGACCTCAACAAGTTATTTTTAGAGTTGAGGTCAGGGAGGCACAAGATGAGACGAAGACAGGACTTACAATAATGTATAAATAGATGATCTACACAGCAAGACACAGGGTGATCTCTTCTTGTCCAATTAGAGGCTGCATGTTTGCTCTAAGACCATTTCAGCATAGACTCTGAAACTGCCTTCCAGGCTTTGCTAGAAGTGTCTGAAGAGAGGAGCAGGTGGTCTGTGGAACTGCCTAGCCATGGGATTGATGAGGATTCCTACAGAATATGTGCTAATCTCTGAATGTGGGCCAGATTTCACAGCAGAGGCATGGGGCAGGGCCTCCTCTGTGTACCTCCAAGCTTTACTCAAACCCAGCCCTGTGTTTTGGCCTCACCTTCCAGGTTATGAACCATCCCTAGTCATACCACATCTAAGGCCGTGTTCACAAGCTGCAAGCGCACGGCTGTAAACGTGTTAAAGAACTATGAACAGCACGGCACCCATAACCATGCATTAATTCTCATGAACAGACTGGTATCCAGCAGGCTCGCCTCAGTTTTGTGATACCCATGCCTGTTCTGATCTGGTTCAGTTCTTCAGCAGCTTCTTCAGATGTTTAACTTGCCTGGTCCTGTCTCCCGGAGAGGCCATGGAGGTAAATAGGGCAGATGAAGAGATATGAGGCCATGATGGGAGATAGTGGCCAGGAAGAGGGACATTCAACAGGGCTATCGATCACCTTAGCACATACGCCACCTCTGCAAAGTGGACCGAGCTGACACTGGGGGATGGCCCAGTATGCTGGGGCCTTACTGCCTGGAGGCAAGCGAAGTGATTTTTCTTCTGGTTGCGGGCACCTGGCTAGCTCACCCCAAGTCCTGGCTCTGCTGTTTATAAGCTGTGCCTTCCAGGGCAGGCTACTTAACCTTTCTGGGTCTCCATCCCTCCACCTGCAAAATGTGCAGGTAATAAATGTGCAAAATGATAACCAGTCCCTGCTTCAAAGGACTGTGGTGAGAACTAAATTAACTAGTGTATAAAAGGAATTTAGAATACGGCCTACCAAAGAGCTTATAAAGGGGAGGGAGAGCTTAAAAATTCACATATCATGAGAGACATAGGGCCCAGTCCCTGCTTCAGCAGACAGCGATAAGGAGTCATCACAGGGTGTTTTGGCAGAAGACCTAAGAGAAAGTGCACTGTGTATCTCTATTTTTCACATATAGTTACAGAAAGCACTGACGCTGGGGTACCCACCTTTTCAGGGCACACTCCAGTTCATTCTTCTCCTCATGGGCTTCTTGGAGCTGGGAGAAGATTCTGGTCAGGAAGTCTTCAAAGCTGGGGAGTAAATGAGGCTCATCCTTCTTCAGCTGCAGCCAGAGCTGCTTGACATCACTTTCACTGCAAGAGAAGGGACGTTCATGCAGAAATGTGGAAACCAGGCTTCATGGGAAATACAGAGGTTCCCAGATAGGAAACTGGCAGCCAGAAACAGTGCTGTCAGAATCAGTATAAAGGTGACCGTAGCTAACGTGGACCGAAGGCTTGCTGTATGCGAGGAGCCTCATGGATATCAGCTCATCTTGTCCTCACAGTAACCCTACGAGGCAGGAGCTGCAATTACCCCATTTACAGATGAGGAATCAGGTGAAGAGAGGTGGAGCAAGCTGTCTAAGATCACTCAGCAGTTACTGATGGAGTCAGGGGTCTGCTCGGGGCTGTCTGACTCCGATGTTGGCCTCCTTCCCCATCTCGCTCTGCTGCTTCCATTCTCCCATGTCCTTCACGACCGGCTCATGGGGTTGAGCATACTCAGAAACAGGCTCAGGTGCATCTCCAAATGCCAGGAGGATGGGAGCCTGGTGCATATGAGGACACATGCTACGGAACTAAAGGGGAGAGCTTGTTGCTCCCAGGGAGGCTGGTCCTCACTGCTGAGAGGAAGACTTGCCATGCGATGGAGGGTAGAAAGCAATTGTCACTGCAGGAAGGAAAGAGAATATGCAGCACCCCACTGGGGCCTGGTGGCACGAGGGATGACTGACAGGCAAAAAGAAGGGAAAGAGCAAGTCTGAAAGATGTGCTCACACAGAAAGACAAGGTGAGGGAGATTCGGGAGATCCAGAGGCCGACAGACAAAGGCACAGAGGCACGTGTGTACACAGCTCAGCGACAGAGACACATGGGCTCAGGCTGAAACCCAGGGAGGAAATGAGGAGGAGATGCCTGTTCTCCCTTTCTGGAGAAACTAAAAAGTTTATAGCCAATGATCAAGCTAAGTTAAACATAAATCTGAAAGAGAGTAGGTTTTAATTCAATAAAAGTTAATAATTTCTCACAGCTAGCAGGCAATAGAGTGTTACAGCATCAAGTTTGAAAGTTATGTAATAAACAGTAGAGTTCAAGTGAAATTTCATAGGCTATTTTATTACAAATAACCTATTCAACGTTATTCTAGCAAAGGAGAGAATAAATATAAATCTTATCCCCCAAACAATCAGGTTTTTGATTTTTTAAATTAATAGGCACACGTATATTTTCCAATACTTTTTTCACATTTATATAACAAGATGTAATAACTAGCTCAGTTCACTGTCTTCTCAAAGTCTTTTGCTACTTAAATATTCACTCTGTGTCTTAATCTTTCAAATTTATGGCTATTGAAAATATAAGTCCTTCACCTTCTTCCATCCTTTCAACATAATTACATTTTGACTTTCTTGTTAAACTTTGAGACTTTATGTAATGCACATTTCACATTTAATTAAGGAAAATCACTTATGATCATCATTTTATGAGAATAAAGTTATCTGTATGCCTATACTTCTCTTGAGCTCTTTCCAAAATTTGCTAGTCCATTTCAGTCATCTGCACCTTGACAGTCTGTCACCAAAATTCATGTTGACTCCCCAGGAATCTTGAGGATAACGAATAACATTATTTGTGCTAGACACTTCAGAAGTGATATTTGGTAGCGCTATGCTAGCAATGCTCCTGCAGATGGACATTACTCTCTACATCCTGCAGAGAAGAGGCCTACTGAGAAATGGGTGGTGACCTCCCACTCCTGTGGCAGGTTTCCCTGCTGTGGTCTGAATGTTTGTATCTCCTACAAATTCATGTGTTTAAAGCCTAACCCCCAACATGATGGTATCAGTGGTTGAGGCCTTTGAAAGAGGAGATCAGATCTTGAACGCAGAGCCCTCATGAATGGGACTAGTGCTGTTGACACTGTGTTCTGTAATTAGCATTGTTTAAAACTGTATGTTAATTCCCAAATATAACATGAAATAAATGTGTATACTATTATGACTCCAAAAATAATATCCCTGGAGAACCAGGACTCTTCCTGAAATTGCACCACTATTTGTTTTACTTCCTTTCCCTGTCCCACTTTCACAAATCCCTACCAGTTTATTCCGGGAGTACCTCCTTAATAAATCACTTTAAGACAAAAACTACACAAACAGAAACATAAATGTGACTTGTCTTCCATTAAATTCCCAAACCAGAAAATCTGAGGGTAGCTCTGGCCAGGAACCCTCAAGATAAGGAGTAAAATCCTTTGTGCTTGTGTAAAAAGCATTATATTTAGAAACCTCAACCAGAAATGATATTCAATAATGCCATGCTAGCAATGTTCCTGGAAAATGGACATTACTCACTGCACCCAGCAGAGAAGAGGCCCACTGAGAAAGGCGCCAACTCTTATCAGTTATCTGGTCATCTCTTTAACACACTCTCCCTCTCTCCCTCCTTTCCGTGCTCCATCTCTTCCACCAAAATATCCGCCTACTTATTTAGACCATCTGTCTATCCATCCATCCATCAATTTCCTAATTCACTCAGCAAGTATTTATTATGACCTATTGTAAACCTTCCATTGTACTGGATGTCATGAGTGAATCTGGGAAATGAGGGAAGAGGAGGTAAGGAGACTGTTTCCCAAAATGAGTTCCACTCCTCCCATCCTCACAACACACACACAGCATGTTGTGATGGTCTCACTTCATCCTATAGATAAAATGTAGATATGACACAGGGTTCAGAGAAAAGGGGATCTCAGAGAGACACCATGGTGACCTCCCATCCCTGTGGCAGGTTGTTCTCTGCTGTGGACCGAATGTTTCTATCTCCTACAAATTCACATGTTTAAATTCCAATTCCTGACGTGACAGTTTCAGTAGGTGAGGCCTTTGAGAGCTGGTTAGATGAGGAAGGCAGAGCTCTCATGAATGGCACTTGCATCGGTATAAAAGAAGCCAGAGGAAGCTCACTCACCCTTCCTGCCATATGAGGACACAATGAGAAGACAACTCTCTATGAATGAGGAAATGTGACCTCATCAGACAGCAAATCTGCTGGCACCTTGATCTTGAACTTCCTAGCTTCCAGATCTGTCAGAAATAAATTGTGGTTATTTATAAAGTACCCCATCCAAGGCAGTCTATTACAGCAACCCAAAAGAACTGGGACACGCCATCGTGAAGTAAATGCATCATAAAATCAAGGTTCACCTTGCCAGCCTAGGTCTGTCTGTCCACACCTGCCGGGTTCCTGTTGGAGCCAACTGAGCTGAAGTCCCCAGTGAGACTTGCAGACCCACCTGCTCCTCTTCCAACACTCTTTGAAGTACTTAGTCATGGCAACAACACCTTGCCCCAGATTTTCTTTCAACTTTTGATGAAAAACAAGCCAAAGTTCACTAAGCTGCCAAATCACTCAGTCAGACCACCAAGAACAGCCACAGTGCAGATGTCCAGTCTCGAACTTCTGCAACACACCAAGGCCACCTCTCCTGGGAGGATATTAGAGTAGAGGCTAGAAAGGATTCTGGGAGGTTTTTCCATCCATTTCACTGCTTCAAGAACAACACACAAATCATTTTAGTGAGCAAAATCCTTAAAGACTCCTTAAGTCTTTGTAGCCTTTTCTATTTCCCTGTCAGGGGTCCCAGAGTCATGAATGTTTCCCTCATGCTGCAACCTAAGCCCATGTCAGTGAGAGTGGAAGTAGCTGGTCGTCATCTCCTGTGCATCAGTTTTTACAGACCACTCTCGAAACCGCCACAAAGCCTCCTCTTCTTTGGGACATCTCATTTTGGCTCAGTTCTGTACTGGTCTTTGCTATAGGTCCTCAGAGTCACATCTGGTGGACTCTAACTGAGAACCTGCCAGGAAGGCAGCTGCCAGGCAGTGAGGGCTGGGCAAAGAGGCCCCTTCCTTCCATTACAGTGCCTCAGCTCATCTGCCCTGCCTTCTCCTTTCCCCTTCTCCAGGAGGAGGTATCGCACAGTCACCAGGAACGGTCTCTGTGCTCTGGCCTTCTGTCCTTGGAGAATCTGAGAAGCTGAGTTAGGTGTATGACTAATGAGCTTCCCACCCGCCTGTGCCCTTTCCACTTGCCCAGCTGCACCCTCTGTGATCCACACCTGCTCCAGCCCCTTCTAGGCCTGCGGCAAAGCTGCTGCTGCTGCTGGTTTTGAGTTGCACTTCCTGTGCAGTGCCCCCACCAAGATCTTTCCTACCCCTTTGCCTGTCCCTTTCTTGCCTGGAACACACTTTACCAGCCTTTCCCAATTCTGCCACAGTCTACCAAATTGTTTGCTAAGAAAATCAAACACCGCATGTTCTCACTCATAGGTGGGTGTTGAACAATGAGAACACATGGACACAGGGAGGGGAGCATCACACACTGAGGTCTGTGGAGGGGGATGGGGAGGGACAGCTGGGGGTAGGGAGTTGGGGAGGGATAACATGGCGAGAAATGCCAGATATAGGTGATGGGGATGGAGGCAGCAAACCACATTGCCATGTATGTACCTATGCAACAATCCTGCATGTTCTTCACATGTACCCCAGAACCTAAAATGCAATTAAAAAATATGTATATATATATAAAATTCACAGAGCTTCAGCCTGCAAATCGTATATAGATCTCTTCTCTCTTTATCATTTTCCACCATAGCCCTTCTCTTCCCAAGCTCAGAAACATCAGCTGCAATCAGTAGGGCATTCCCGCCCTGCAGGATACACACACCCAGCCCAAGACCTAGAGACCCCAAAACAAAAAGGCCAAAGGCAAAGTGTAAAGGCAGAAGGCATCACATGCTCTCAGGCCCTCTGTCTGGTTTCCACTAGCTATACATCACATTTTACTTATTTTATTTACTTAAATGTCAGGGCTTAGATCCATGTGTCTATTCCAAAGCACTTTTCAGGAAAAAAAAAAAAAATGGTGGTGGGGGCGAGTATGTTTTGTTTGAGGTCCAGCCATCTAAAATGTTCCAACTAGTGGCCTGCTAAGAACTGGTTAATTTTCCACCTTGGCTCCTGCACAAGCTTGGTTTGCTGTGGACACAGTGTGCAAATGCTTCCATGTGATGGGCTTTTGCCAGGAAGGGGAGGCACATAGCTCTAGAGACCCAGTAGTGGCTCTGCTGGAGGTAGAGATGCTGGGGAGCTGACGGTGATAGGAAGCCTTAGGGAGAGCTCCATGAAAAACCCTGAAGGTATGGTAAAGCCCCCTGATGTGTGAGCACCCCATGGGGAGCAAGGCTGAGCCAAGGACTTGAGGGTGATGCACTGCTGGGTGTGAGGAAGGTAGATGGGGTGGGAGAGAAGGAGAATAGGAATGTTTCCTAAAGAAAAAAAAATGTAAAAAGCAGAGACAGAGCCCAACACACAGCCAGGTCATCACAAAGAACAGGCCCCAGTTGGCAGCACCATGGGCAGGGACCACACCACATGGTTAATAAATATTAATTGTTGAATGGGCACAGGAAGAGGTTTCTACAAGGCTGGTCTCCATTCCATAAATCACCATCACCACTTACTCTTCCAAAACCTTCTGGGCTCCAAGTCTGTCCATCAGCATCTGGAACTGGGCTTCCTTGTCTTCATCCATGTCTCCCAGATCCTCCTCCTCTCTGGACTGATACACCTGCTCTTCATGGTGTTGGGCCAGCTGCTCACCTGCATCTTCCTGACTTGGGTTATTCTGGCTGAAGAAGAAGTGACCTAGGGGACACAGGACACAAGGATCTGAATCAGACCATACCCATCCAGGAAGAGCTCGGCTTTCTCAGCTGCCAGGGATCACTGAAGGTTCATCTGAGAGAAGGAAAGGGAAAGCCCTTCCAGTCCCAGATTCTGTGTCTTTTCCACTTCCACAGGCACCCCACCAGTGATGCCAGAATCTGGGAAAGGCATAATGCAAGACAGGTATGGTGTCTCCTTTGTGGTTCTCAGTCTCTTAATACCTGGCTTAGAATGCATCTCTGTTGATTTCTTCTTTAAGCAACAAGGCCTTTCCCACTGCATTCCAGCACCCTGACTGCAAAGGCACATATTGTCCTCCTAGTCATGCCCCCGCTAGCATCACCAGACTTCACATCTACAAGCTCCCTAACAGTTTCCAGTGTACTTTCCCCATACTCATGCTGTCTGATATTACAGCACTCTGTCATATCCTCCTAAAGGAAGCAGAAGCTCCTGAAGGTCAGCAAAGGCATCAGATCCTTCTAAGAAAATTACATGGCCCCGCATGGGGCAGGTGTATGGTAAAATTTGCCTTTGATATATCTCATAGGATAGTGTGTCTGGTTTCTTTATATTGTTCATAGATCTCACTTTTCCTTCCTCCAGGTTACCCTGAGAATGGCTAGTCTATTCAGACCTTCTAGAAATTCCTCTGATAGCTGTTATCCCTCAACCTGGAAGATTCAGCCAGACTTGGGTAGGAATGAACCATCCCGTTGTCCCCCTTTCTGGCCACTTTTCTATCAAGGCCGAAAAGGAGAGGCTGCAAATCTCCTCACAAATCCCCCTTTTACGCCATGCCTTCTACAGAGCTTCCATACATCTCCCTTGCCAGTCCCAGCGGGAGGGAACTTGGTAGTGACAGTGCAGGGGCACTGAGCAAGCAGCAATGTAAGCAGTTGAGACAGGCATGTGAGGAGGCCCAAGCAATCCAGAGCCTGGAGACTATGCTCTCCAGGTCCCTCAAGGAGGGCAGTAAAGCTTTACTACATGCCCCCACCAGATCTAGAAGAGGCGGGAATATACCTTATACAGCATTAGGTAGACCCATAACCCTGAGGTCCCCAGCAGCCATCAGAACTTACTAAATCCAGTAGTGAACTCCTCTGGGGTCAGATAGCCATTGCCATCAGCATCCAGGGCATCAAACGCATCCTCCAGTTCCTCCAGACTGAGTGGTAGCTCCTTATGCAGCCTCTGAAAACAACCCAGAGTGTACTGGTTAACGCTGACCCTCACAGTGGGGGTGACCTGGGACTGCAAAGCCTTCTTCCAAAACGTATCTAGAGTTTGGCGCAGTCCTACAAAAACCAGTAGCGAGATTCTGCATCCAGACTGACTCACCACCCCTCTCCTCCTCTGCATGTGAGCACAGCTACCATGGATTGGGTGCCTACTAATGTACTAAGCAATTTGCTAGGTGATTTATAAATAAATATTAAATATGCATTTATCTATCTATCTGCATTTAATTCCAATGACAACGCTTTAAGCCAGGCACTATTATCTCTGTTTTATAGTTGAGGTTTGTAGTGACATTACCTGCTCCAAAGTCACATGGCTAGTAATGACATAGCCAGGAGTCATATCCAGTTCTGATTCCAAAGCCAGCACTCTCAACATCTGTAAAGGACTCAAACGGTACAGGACCAAATGCTTTCAGGATAGTAGCCATAGGCGTGGTGTTGTAAAGTGAAACGCGATCATGAATGCAGAGTGTATAACAGTGCCTGCACAGAGAATGCATTCAATATTCAATAAAAAGGCGTAGGGAGACAGAGAGAGAGACCGAGAGAGATTCATGGCCCACTGAGGCCCCTCAAGGAGTGCATGGCAGGGCCAGGCTTCAAACCCTGCCTTCCCTGGTCTCCCCAAGTCCCCTTTCCTCCCCCCCAGTTCCATGATACAGGTATGGACCATTTACTCCTAGAGTCCTCTCCTACTGGAGGCCCCTGGTGTCCCAGTGCCTCAGCACTGCATTTGTAAGTGTCTGTGGATACACATTTTGGTCCTTGAGCTCTGAGGGGATGTGGGATAATCCCCCTACATACTTCTGAATGACCCATACCCAGGACCCAAATCCAGGTTCCACTCCTGCTCCCTGCTGACTGGGAAGGAATTCCTAATAAGATGTCAACTGCCATTGGCTTAAGGTCTGAAGCCCCCAAGAGTATTTGTGTGTTAAAGGGGACTGGACAGGACGGTGTGAGGAGGTCATCAACGGACTTGAGTCTAGAACAGACTCAGACCTCACAAGGACGAAGGGCAGAGACCAACTGATGGGTCCAGGAGCAAAGTAGCTGAGCTGTTGCTGCTCTCTTCTGGCCTTCTGCCTGATGTGCAATGGCCCCAGGCCAAGGCTAATTTGCATAGTTGAAGCAAGTGTCTCCTTATGCCCAAATAATCTAGGTGTCCACATGAGGACTCCCCAGAGAGTTCATTATATCTCAGCCAACCATCTCCTTCCTCTCAGTTACCTAAGGGGTAACTATGCAAAATTGCTGGTGTGGAAGTGACTGACAGCTGAAGACAACGAATACAAGCCTTTGTAGGAAGAAAGGTATATACCAACTCAGCAATATAAAAGAGGTGGCAGGTGTGAAAGCCCATAACATAACTGGCAAGAACACTTGGCTTGATCCTATGGCAGTTTTAGCTGCTAAGCCATAAAGCTTAATTTGGCAGGTGCAGGCATTAAGGGAGACTATGATGCATTACGAAGCGGGAAGACAGGCTGACGTGGAAGCCATTTGGAAGAATTGAATTAAATATGAATGGGCTTTTCAAAAATGGGAAGACAGTGAGAGAGTGTGCAAAGATTCTAGAAGTACATCTGCTTAGCATTCAGCAAAATCTCTGACGTATCAACAATCCATAAACCAGCTGTCTTGAAAGCTGCAGTAGAAGAATACGGGGTGAGGAGAGTCAGTTTTGCAAGCAGGGATTCTGTTAGCGTCACTGGAAATCAAGAGCATCACACCTGAGGTATGGCACAAGTGCCTGTCAGGCTCACATTCCAGTCCTTCCTTGGGATAATCTTTCCTCCTTCCCCACCCTCAGCCTAGGACTGCTGGAACTGATTCAAAATGTGGTCTCTCACACTGGGCTGGAGCTACAAATGAGCTGCGAGAAAATTCCAGAGATCAACGGGCCCCCCCTCCATATGCCTTTCACCCAAACACCCCTTACATCTTTTTCTCGTTGGCATGAACCAGGAGAGGCTAGTTCACAGCTCACCTTAGGCATCATTCCTGAATCTAGCAGCACTTCCAACCCCAAATCCTCCCGTTGTCTAATAGCAGTCCTTCTTGTCTACATCTGAAGCCAGTTGCCTCCTTCTGTTCTCAGCAAAGATGGGGAAAGCAATATAATAGGTTCCAAGTAATTCTTACTCTTCATGTCCTGGCAAATCAGTGCTGAGCGCTTCTTCAGCCTTCTCTGCAACTGTACTATACCTGGTTCTCTAACCTTGGTTTCCTGGCCCTCTTTGAAATATCTTTTAGTCTTAATAACCATAATTATCTCCTATTTATCACTCTGCTTGGGGCCTGCAGAGTCATGGAGAACCAGCTTCTTCTGGTATGGTCTCCTGGTACTGTTTACATTTTTAACTAAGTGAGATAAGCAGGGTGGAGGGGAGCGAGATTATTTATTCCACTGTGCAATAGGCCTGTGAGGCTCTGAGATTTGCCTAAAGCCACAGTGGAGACCACAGCTGGGAAAAGAATTGATTTTCCGATGAGGGCTTGAGCAACTGTCTAATCGTTCTTCAGTGCATTCATTCTGTAATTCCCTCACCTTCATTACCTCCCACGCCTACCCCTACCAGCACCACCAAAATCGTAACACAAAGTCTCTCTTGCCAGCACCACCAAGACCCACCCTTCCAGAGATCCTGCTGCACTCACAGCATTTTCTCACACCTGGAAGGGTGGACCAGGGAAAAAGGGAGGCACGAGGAAGATCTCAGCTTCCTGTTCATACTGCCTGTGGCCCAGGAGCTCTTGAGAACTCCGCGGCTCCTTTAAACGCCAGCCTCACTCTTCCTTCACTCTCAGCCCCTGCATCACTTCCTCTGTGAGGTCCTTGCAACTCCCCAGGTTAGGTCAGATTATACGAGCTCCCCAAAGTACATTTCTCTTCTTCGTAAGTCTTATCTCCATAAGCATTTTATATACAGATAGATGTGATTAGTTGATGAATGTCTGCTCCCTCAGTGCTCCTGGAACAGGGACCTCATTTGTCAGGCATTGATGTGTCCCCAGGATCTAGCCCAATGCTGACAAATATGGACTATTTAGGTAAGTGTTGAAGGAAGGCATAAAGAAGTGCTTGACTAAGAAGAACGGCAGGAGACCCTGAGCTCCTGTGTACAGAGTACTGGTCTGGACCTCACACCTCCAGATCCTGACCAGCCCAGCTGCTAATTCTCAGCAAGACTTACAGTGACTGGCAACCTTCCAGGACCTGGAACATGAGGCATCTGCAGCAGCAGCACTGAGAGTTCATGCTCCAGAGCTGCGGGAAAATGATGGCTTTTGCTGCATTCCAGCCAGACCCTGTTACCTTCCTGGTCACCAGCCCAGAAAACATACCTCATGTAGCTTAAAGCATACGGTTGCATAGCCTCAAACATGCTTCCATGACATTTTTATTAAGGAGAAAATCAGAGGATATCCATGTTTATGTCCAGAATTACACTGTCCCTCCTGGGGCATCCACAGCATTCTTTTCAAACCCCCGTTCCAGCACCAACCACCCTTTTCTCTGTGGTACAGCTCAGCTATCCCAAATCACTTTAGGACAAGAGTGGGAGGTGGGAGGGCAGGATCAACCTTTATCTGCTTTGTGCCTTGATGTACTTGGCTTGGGCTGATTACTTGGTATAGGCCAGAGTTTCTCAACCTCTACACTACTGACATTTTGGAAAGAACAATTTTTTGTTAAGGGGGCAGTGGAGGGGAAGGCAGGGAGGGACCATCCTGTGTATTATAGGATATACAGCAGCATTCCTGGGCTTTGCCTGCTAGATGCCAGCAGCACTTCCCTCACCAGTCGTCACAGTCAAAAAGGGTATGGAACTTCCTTACAGGGTATGGAGTTCCTTACCTCCATACTCTGTAAGGAACATGGCTGTGCTTTGGTCAAGGACAGACCAAGGTAGAATGTTTACATCCCGCGTGACTCAGTGAGTTTAGAGCACAGGCATGTAACCCCACTTGTTAACTCTGTCACACAGCCATAACATGAGAAGGCCATCGCCTGGCTCTACGCCATTATTGTCTGTAAAAGGTATAATTGCCCAGTTGACACTGTGCAGGTGTGCTTGTGCCCAGAGAAAGTCAGAGCTGTCTTCTTTGTAGACAGACACTGGGGAGCCAGAGCACATGCCCAAAGAGAGAAAGAGTTAAGCTGCTGACCCTGAAGGCAAGGAAGAGCCAGCCACACAGCGGTGTGTGGGGGCCGCTGGACTAAGCAGCCAAGACAGGGCGGACAGTGTGAGAAAGCTGTTGATGAAAGCGGCTGCTGGATGAAACCATACGCACCTGACTCCAGTGCCTCGAGTCTTCCTTCTCTCATCCACCCACTCCCTCAGACCTCAGCACAGGCTGGAACCTAACCCCAAGCGTGACAATTGGCGTAGTCGTGAAAATGACACATTGCCTTAGGTCCTCTAGGAGGAAAAATGCCGCCATTCATGTAGACTGTACACAAAGAAGAACCTTTCACTCATATCCAGCTGCTGTATATGAGCTGGATATGAGTGGAAGGTTCCCTTTCAGGTAGAAATGCCCATTTCTTTTCTCTAAGACAGGACAGACAACTTGCATCTTAAAATTACAATGTGATGGTGCAGCCATTGTATAAAATGGTATGGTGTCTCCTCAGAAACTTTACAAAATAGGATTAGCCTATGATCCAGCAATTCCACTTCTGGGCATATACCCAGAAGAATGGAAAGCCGTATCACCATTATTCACAAATAGCCAACAGGTGGAAGCTACTCAGGTATGGACTAATGCAGGAATGGAGAAACAAAATGTGGTATATACATGCAATGGAATATTATTCAGCCTTTAAAAATATTCTGACACGTGCTACAATACGGATGAAACTTGAAGACATTATACTAAGCAAAATAAGCCAGTCACAAAAGGACAAATATTATATCACTCCACCTATGTGGGATACCTTGA